GTTCTGTAATCAGCGGTAAATCTCCATCACGTGTGTGCTTTCACATTGAGCAGCATTAACTACACAGAGCCGTTGTTCACTGACGAGCTGCGCAAAACCACATTCATATTCGCGCGATTTTTTGCGCAGCTCGTCAGTGAACAACGGCTCTGTGTAGTTAATGCTGCTCAATGTGAAAGCCCGCAGGTGATGGAGATTTACTGCTGATTACAGAACCGGTTTTCTGACAAGAATCGCATGCGATTTATCGTGCAGCCCTAATTTCAAAGTACGTCAGAATTTGACACCATGATGAGGATCAAACGGGAAGGAGCAGCTTTAAATCCAGATCTGTAAACTCTCAGGACTCACATCTTCTGGTGTGACTAGAATAAAACCAGACATTTATCAGCTGAATAGCAGTAAAGCTGTTTTATTAAGAAGCTGTGAGTTGAGTCTTTCCTAAACAAGGTTTTAAAGCTTCCACATGTTGATTTTTGCCAAGTAGGATGTTTTCATCAGTTGAAATCTGTTGTTGATCCTTGAACAAGATTCCTGTCGAACTCATATCAAAGACAGATGAAACTACCTATACAAACCAAAAAGCTGTTGAATGTGCAATCCCAAAATCTGATTGAATATTGTTCTAGCATTTATATAAGGAACATACATGAACACAACCTAGTTGGAAAATCAGGTGAGGTCACCAAGATCAACATCCTTGTGAGTACTGGAAGAGCCAAACAGATTTATATCAGCTGGAGAAACTGATCAATAGACATTCCCTGCATCAAATTCTGGGAAAATATGCTTGTGTAGTGATCGATGTGTTTTAGATGGACAGGTGTGACTTTCACAAATTCTGGACATTTGACTAGATTGATAGAGGAAATTTATTTTATGTATGTATTTATTTATTTATTTATTTGTTTGTTTTTTACACCATGAAACTTTTATCTCATACCTTATTTTTACCTTATACCTTATTTTTTCATTTATTTATTTTTACAGATTTTTTTAACCTGCTGTATTTCACATTCTGAAACTTGTTTGTTTGTATTTATATTTTTATTAATTGTTTGGTTTTATATTTATTACAGACATTGTATTTCACATTCTTAAACTTTAGATTTTAAGTCATTTTTTATTTATTCATTTTATTTTACATGCTGAAATGTTTTATTTTTTTTCAGACTATGTATTTCACTTTCTGATAAACTTTGGTTCGTTCGTTCGTTCATTCATTGTGATTTCAGCCGTTGTATTTCACATACTCAAACTTGGTTTCTGGTTGCTTTATTTTTATTTATTTTTTATTTATTTATTTGAATTTATGCATTTGAGATTTATTTTATTTATTCATTTTATTTTACATGCTGAAATGTTTTATTTTTTTTCAGACTATGTATTTCACTTTCTGATAAACTTTGGTTCGTTCGTTCGTTCATTCATTGTGATTTCAGCCGTTGTATTTCACATACTCAAACTTGGTTTCTGGTTGCTTTATTTTTATTTATTTCTATTTGAATTTATGCATTTGAGATTTATTTATTTATTTCAAACATTGCATTGCATTTGACATGATAAATGCCAGTTGCTCGTTTGGACCATTTGTTGGTTGAGAGTAAGTTAGTGCTCAGATTTCTAGATGAGTGTTTGTCAGTAGTTAAGTGTTAAGAGCAGCAGTTAGAGGAGATGGCACACATTCTCATGACTCATTGATCATCTATTGATCGGGGTGTTGGAGAGTATTTCAGTATTTGTGTTTTATAAGTGTCTTCTCTGCGTGAGGTTCATCTTTCATTGACAGCGCTCTCCTCAGGCTGTTCAGCACAGCTGGATTTGCTCTGAGCACAGATGGACTGATGGGAATCACAGCAGTAGTGTCTCTGATAATCATTAAATGAGGCTCTTGACACCTTCATGTAGTTCCTTGAACAATGTGAAGTCACTCCGGTTCCTCATTGTTCATCGTGTTTGGACAGCAGAATTCATCAAAATTAACACAATCCTCTAAAATGATTTCTTTCTTATGCTGACTAACCCTGATTTTCCCCTCTTTTTCAATTTATTTAGCATGTTTTATAGGATTTTTAGAGCATTGATCATGCTAATATATATATATTTTTGTGAATTCTAGGGTGCTGCACTGAAATACGTCCCAACTATCGTCAATGATCTGAAACTGGTCTTTGATCCAAAGGAGCTCAGGTGAGTTTATCAGACATTGTTTATATGTTTAGTGAATATCCTTATATATATATATTTTGAATTAAGACTTTTATTAACTGTTGTTGTTAGTAGCGTGTTTTATGCATGTTTGCACACAGCCAAAAGTAAATAGAGTTTAAGGAAAAGTCAGTGTTTTGCAGCAGAGTTTATGGAGTGTTGTGAGCAACAAATTAAAAAACTATTTTTATTTTATTTTATTATTTTAATTTGTCTCATTCCATTATTTAATTTTAATTGTATTTACAATAATACAAAAATTCCCTTCTGAAATAAATCATTAAAATAAATTAATAAACAAACAAACAATCAAAGGATATTGTTGCCCTTCCTGCCTCATCTTTTTAAGCTGAAATTTGGATGTTATCCAGCTAATAATTGTGTTCAGTTTATTTTATTTTAGTTTTATTTTAAATTTTTACTTTATATTGTATTTTAATTTTAATTTTATATTATGTTTATTTTATATTGTTTTTTTTACCGAAATGTCTTTATAAGATTTAAACACGCAAATTATTTTCTGAAATTAATAAAGTAAGTACAAATTATATTGTTACTCACCCTACCTCATATTTATTTAGCTGAAATTTGATTGTCATTTGGCCAGTAACTGTATTGACTTAGAATTACCCTTATTTTATTCTTGTTTTTTTACTTTTTATTTTTTTATTTTGTTTTGTTTTATTTTATTTTATCCTATTTTATTTTATCCCAATTATTGTTTTCCTTCATTTTAAAACACAAAAAATCCTCTTCATACAACAATCTTGTCTCTCATCCTGTCTTCCTCTCCTCATGTCTCCCTGTCCATCCCGTCTCCCTCTCCTTATCTCTCTCTCTCTGTCCTCATCCTGTCATTTTTCTGTTTTCTTCATGCTGTCTCTCTCACAAACAAAAACCAATATAGTTATCCTCACCCTGTCTCTCTTTCCCCATGTCTCTCACTGTTCATCCTGCTTCTTATTTCATCCTGTCTCTCTAGCTGCTGGTCCTCATCCCATCCGTCTCTCCTCATGGCTTTCGTCTGCTCCCGTGTGTCTGTCTCTCTCTAAGTGACTCTGATGAAATCAGGTGTGAGTGATGGAGTTCTTCAGTCTGATGCTCCTCAAACACTAGATCCGATTGTTATTAGCATCTTTCTGCCCAATGGAGTTTGTATGTCATTACCGTTACCACATCGCTTTGCTGCTCAAGTATTTTTCACACGCTTTAGATTCAAAACACAATCAGTGCAAAGTGATCCCGTTGCCGTGGAGACGCGGCGGTCACTCGCCCATCCCGTCTGCTGGTCTGGATAATGCGTTCCTCCCTGAGTGGCATTATAATGGAGCTACGTCGCTCTTGTGATGGCTACATTTACTGCACACACACACACACGGTGAGAGATGATGGCATGAATCCTGCTGCGTCTCAGGAGTTTAGCTGAGGACGGCCTTTCCTCACCAAACCAATTTTCCTTGACATGACATTTTCACAAGGTGTTTTGTAACAGCGGGATTCTTGTTAGATTCCCTGAGTAATTTGTGTGCCTTGTGTAAGTGATGTTTCAGACTGAGAGCTGTTGAATGGAGTGTGCATGCATATAAAGTAGTTATCTGTGAACTAGTGGTCAGCAGCTTCTCTTCTCGTCTCTTCTCGTCTCGTCTCTTCTCTTCATCCCTTGTTCTTTAATCCTGCTGGTTCTCTCTGTGTTGGAGAGTTTGCTGGGGTTAAGAGGATTTCATCTTCTCCTGTGTCTCTTCAGTCTCCTGTGCTTCTCTTCTCTACCAGAGAGAAAACCTGGCCTTTACTTTCTCTTCTCTTTCCCTTTTCCTTATTTCTTTTACTTCACTTTTTCATGACTCACCGTTTGCATTCTATTTATTTCCTGACTCACTTTTGCCTTTTTCTTTTATTTTTGTCCTTTTTTTTCTTTTCCTTTACCTTTCTGTTTTCTTTTCATTTTTCATCATGTTTTCAGTTTCTTGATTCACTTTTTCCCTTCCCTTGTTCTTTTCTTTTTTCTTTTTACTTTAACCTTTTAATTGAGCTTTTTCTCTTTTCTTATCTTTTTATTTTGCCTTTCCTGGCTTACTTTTCATTGTTTTCTGTTTCCTTTTCCCTGTCCATTTTTTTTCCCTTTTGACTTTATTCTTTCTTGTTTCTCTTTTTTGTCTTTATTTTCCTTATTCCTGACTCACTTTTTGCTTTCCCTTTTAATTTACTTTTCTTTTCCTTTCCTTTCCTTTATCTATTTTATTTCCCTTTTTCCTTTACTCACTTTATCCTTTCCCTTTTTCCTGTTCCTTTTCCCATTTCATTTTCTTTTCCACTTTAGTTTTCTTTTTCCCATTTCATTTCCTTTCCTCAATTTTTTCTTTCTTTTATACTTTTCATTGTTTTCTGTTTCCTTTTCCCTGTCCATTTTTTTTCCCTTTTGACTTTATTCTTTCTTGTTTCTCTTTTTTGTCTTTATTTTCCTTATTCCTGACTCACTTTTTGCTTTCCCTTTTAATTTACTTTTCCTTTCCTTTCCTTTATCTATTTTATTTCCCTTTTTCCTTTACTCACTTTATGCTTTCCCTTTTTCCTGTTCCTTTTCCCATTTCATTTTCTTTTCCACTTTAGTTTTCTTTTTCCCATTTCATTTCATTTCCTCAATTTTTTCTTTCTTTTATTCCTTTTCTTTACCTCTTGTTTCCCCTTTACTTGTTTCCCCTTTTTACTCTTTTCCCATTTTCCTTTCCTTTTTCCTCACCTTGGCTTTCCCTTTTTTCTTTCATTTTTCTTTTCTTGGACTTTTTTCCTTTGCTTTTTCATTCCATTTACATTTTTCCTCACCTCCTTACCTCCTTCGTCTTTCTCTTTCATTTGCTTACCTTCCTATTTATATTCCTGTGGTATAATATGCGGAGCCAAAAGTAAGGAAGTCATTGATTCACCCTGATTCTGTGACTCTATCAGAACATGAATCTGTTTGTTGAGCATCCTGAGTAATAGCATGAGTTTGGGACGGGACTTTTGTTTGAATGACCAATGATGGAAGAGCCAGTTCAGGAAAACTGCTTCAGGAAATATGTTTTGCACTTTTCACTATCACTGAGGACAGAAAAATGACTGGAGGCCTGGTTAGCACACACCGTGTTAGCATTGCACTGTTTGCTCAGAGTTCATTGTCACAGAAGTGTGTTTGCTCAGCAGAGAGGGCGTGGGTCCCCCCCCCCCCACACACACACAGACCAAACAAACGCTGAATGAGGCCATCTCTGAATTCTGTCATCGTCTGCCAGACCACTCTCATCCCGCTTTTTTCAAGTGCCAGTTCTTTCCAGAAAAAGATCCGCTGCTCTCCTGTTGTGCCCTGGAGGTATAGCCCACAACACTTAGCATGTTTTAGAAATGAGCTGTCACTTCAACAGCAAATGAAGATGAGAAGAGAGGAGTGTTACAAACTCTCTCTCTCTCTCTCTCTCTCACTCACTCACTCACTCACACACACACCTACCTGTTAGTGTTAACGAAATTCTGTGTGTGTGTGTCTCTCTCTCTCTCTCTCTCTCTCTCTCTCTCTCTCTCTCTCTCTCTCTCTCTCTCTCTCTCTCTCTCTCTCTCTCTCTCTCTCTCTCTCTCTCTCTCTCTCTCTCTCTCTCTCTCTCTCTCTCTCTCTCTCTCTCTCTCTCTCTCTCCAGTAAGCTGTTCAGTGAGTTTATTCTCAAAGTTCCTCTGGGGCGTCTTGTGAAGCAGAAGTTGAACTGCATGATTGACATCGTCCACAGCAACCTGTTTACTCAGCATGGTACGTATACACACACACACACACACACACACGTGTTCTCTCTAAAGGTCACTGTCTGACACCGGCTGCATGATAGTGTTTTCATGCTGTGAGCTGCGTGTGATGCTGTGATTGGTGCGTTTTGTGGAAATGCATCTCTTCTGATGTTATTGATGGGTAAAATATGAGCCCTTATGTTTACAGTGCAGTGGTATATGCTTTTTAACTTGACCTGCCCAATAGAAATTTTTATTTTATTTAGAAAAATTATTAGCACGTAACATTTTATTTTATTTTTTTGTATTTTTGAATCAATTAGATGCAACCCTGGAAAAGCATAAGAGACATTAAAAAAAATCATGCTGACCACATTGTTATGCTTATGTCTAAAAAATAAATAAATAAATGTTACGTGCTTGATGTTAAAGAGGGATGATACCGTAACATTTAAGTGCGACAATTGTTACTGGGTGTGGAACAGATCAAATATGACACTGAAGAGTAGTACGTTTCAGAAAACTTTACTGGACGCGTTGTGTGAAGGGGTACAACTAATTATAAAATGAAAAAAAAAAAAGAATATGAAATTTAGCACAAAAAAGGAGTGTCACCCAAATCAAAGAAATAAACAAAACAAAACAATCCTTATACCTAACCTCTAAACTAACTAACAAGGGGAAAAAAAGGTATGAAAATAAAACCGAAATCTTCGGCGTATACGACGCTCCAAATTGAACTCCTCTTAACTAGAAACAGAAATACAAGGGTGGCGTAACACTCACAAACCTAATCTAACAATGTACGAGCTAATCTAATCAAGAAACAAAACGAAGAGTATCATAACAACGATTTACTAAATATTCAAATTATCACCAAAGACGTGTTTGGTTAAGTAGCTCGATGCATTCTTAACTTTGAACTTGACGCATAGTAAAACTGTAACTCTAACACAGACATCAGCGTAATCTTTCACATAGAATTCGATACAAGTCAATAACCAAAGAACGAATCTATAAATAGATCAAATCACACAACACAAAGCATGACTCCGTAAGACAAGATGCATTAAGCATCGGGAGACAACTGGCGTCGAACACGAGACTGCTGACTTGGAGCACAAGGTACACTGGCGTGGCGCACAAACACACAATTAGCTCGAGGCCTCAAATACAGCCGGCACGTCAGCGGATTGGCAGAGCATCATGACGTCAGAATGATGATTGACAGTCTAGTCAACCAATAAACAAAGACCTAGAAGTGCGGTAAGAAATAACACAAAAAGACAGGAGAGCAAGAAAAAAAAAACAGAATATAAACAAAACACACGTGGAATGTAACGATGGATAAGAAAATTAAATTAGACACAAGTGTGATTAAAAAGTGTTACTAAAATATGATCAGTAAGCAACTTATGTTTTTACATTACTTTAACTCATCAAAATAAGTTGAGCAATTTCAATGTTTTTATAAGTTACTTGAGATTCAACTAGATTTTTAGAGTAAGCTTAATATAAAGTTGAAATTACTTGTACATCCAATTTGATAATACTCAAAAATTTAAGGCAGCAACTGAACTTTTTTTTTAAGTTGAAATGGGTGGGAATTTTTTTTCCAATTGTTTTTCTCTGCTGATTGCAACCCCTTAAAACTGATCTTCCACTCATTTTTGTCTCTCAATATACTAGTTAAGAATCACTTTATTGTATCATATTGATGCCTGATTTAAGAAGCACATATAATTGCTTTAATTATGATGCAGTTGTCTATAGAAAGTTCTGTATTGGGACATTTCTTGCAGAAATCCAGGTAATTCTCATGAATGTTTGTGAATGGAATGAATGATGCAGTGTGTAAGGATGTTGTGTGTGTGTGGTGTTAAAGCAGTGACATATGGCAGCTCTGCGGGTAGATTGTAAGTAGATGCACGTCATTCAGCAGTAATTATCTGTGGATGTGTCTCCTGTTCTGACTTAATTAAATCTCTCATCATGCGTTCATGCGCTGTCTCATGCGCTTCAGTCTCTCTCGCTCTCGTAAGGAACGCCATAAAGAAATCAGGATTTAATGAATGAGACCAATAAATAATTTGATTCATTTCAAAGTATAAATAATCAGATTATTTGGTAAATAATCCACAATAGATATGTATGTATTAATAAATGAATTTAACAAAATGATATTGGAGATTGGACACATCATCTATGAAATACGAATATTTTATATATAATTTATATATAATAATAATTTATTTGTTTGTTAAATTATAATAATTATTATTTTTGTTAGTTATTACTTTATTTTTGGTGGGAGAGTTCTCATGTGCAGCAACTTATATATTATATTGGATTGTATTGTATTATGAAGATTTGTCAAGCTTCAATGACCTGGCTAATATAATATATATATTTACATTTTATATTTTATTCTATTTTATACATCGATGTCTACATGGGCTTATTTTTCCAGTTCAGACCTTACTAAATAAAATAATTTAGTTAACTTTAAATGACCTAGATGAGTTTTTATTTTATTTTATTCTATTTTATTTGTTTGTTAAATTATATTTTTTTATTATTATTACTATTTTTGGAAGAGTTCTCATGTACAATGAATAAAATAAAATAAATAAAGATTTGACCAGCAAACATATTTTTGTAAGCTGGTTAAATAATAGTAATGTTATTTAGTTGACTGATTTTTTATATATTTTTTTTCGTTTAGAGTTCGTCAGTGTGGTGTTAAAGCAGTGACATATGGCAGCTCTGCGGGTAGATTGTAAGTAGATGCACGTCATTCAGCAGTAATTATCTGTGGATGTGTCTCCTGTTCTGACTTAATTAAATCTCTCATCATGCGTTCATGCGCTGTCTCATGCGCTTCAGTCTCTCTCGCTCTCGTAAGGAACGCCATAAAGAAATCAGGATTTAATGAATGAGACCAATAAATAATTTGATTCATTTCAAAGTATAAATAATCAGATTATTTGGTAAATAATCCACAATAGATATGTATGTATTAATAAATGAATTTAACAAAATGATATTGGAGATTGGACACATCATCTATGAAATACGAATATTTTATATATAATTTATATATAATAATAATTTATTTGTTTGTTAAATTATAATAATTATTATTTTTGTTAGTTATTACTTTATTTTTGGTGGGAGAGTTCTCATGTGCAGCAACTTATATATTATATTGGATTGTATTGTATTATGAAGATTTGTCAAGCTTCAATGACCTGGCTAATATAATATATATATTTACATTTTATATTT